CTTGCTACTTACGGGAATTATCAGGAAAATGTTGACAGAATTGAAGCTTACATGCATAATCTATTGTAAGTTTATCCTCGTTTAAACTTGTCTTTCTTCCTTGTCAGAAACATTCGAGAACTGGCGTCTCAAGCTTTACACAATCTAACTCCTTCAGATCCAGAATACATGGCTAAGACTGGTATGTTGTCGATTATCGAGCCGTTTCAATGATCGTATCTATTTTGATAGAAGTAGAAATCGTCTAGCAACGATACCTCGCCCAGCGTTAAGAATGTCGACCGAGAGAGGCCGCCCAAAGGGGATGTATAAAAGAAACCATTCTTTTTTAGGGAAACCTGACGCAATTAATCTCAGGTCCAAGCTTTGCTCAACATATGCGTTTTTTCGCATCTTAACACAATCTTGTCAAAATACATTTTTTTCTCGTTTAGTTTTGATAATTCCGTGCTAGATCAAACCAATATCAGCGATATAATCGTAACGTTTTTTGAAAGAATCAGTTCAAGTGAAAAAAAATTTCAGGTATAAATGGAGAAGGGGGTACTCTTGCATATCAATTGTAATGAAACTGTGAGAAGAATATGAGCTCTGAAAATTGTTGTGTATCCCATTCAAATTTGTTTTTCCCAAATCTATTAAACTACAACTTAAATATGTCCTTTGTTGTGCTTGGCCAACAGATGAGAAATCTGGGCGATTGTCTCTAATGTCCTTCAGCTCTGTTCAATCATCCTTTGAGCCACAAACACTGCTTATAGTAACGTAAAGGTGCTTAGTGTTATTGTATTGCTTAAAACTCTTTCTCTGTTCTTTCCTAGTTTTTCCAAAAGTGCTTTTACAAATGAACAATATCGACCTGAACACGCGCCATGGCTGCATCCTGGGTTGCTCTGAAGTTATACACGCTCTGTTTCTATACGCTAAGGAAACCGGAAGGTATTGTTACAGACATTAAAAATTTTACTTCGTTATTTTATAATTATTTTGACAGATAAATTAAAAACTGCACAGGTAAAGATTTTTTAACGATTCTTATTTATCAGATTGCTGACAAACGTGGTTGACAAAGATTGCTTTGAAATCGTGAAAGACTTTGTACCTCAGGTAGAGTTCTTATTTGTAGATTTAGGTGCGATTTTGAAACGTGTAACTTTTCCTCTCAATTTGAATACCTCATTTTCCAAACAATAAACTTATTTGGTAGATAGAGTGATTTGATGAAACATCAACTTCTGTCATTCAGTTATTTTGCGTCGAAATTTATAGCAGCTTGAGAGAAGAGTTACCAACAAAACCATCATGATGGTAATTGGTTTGAGATGGTGTTTTCATGTATAGTAATAATGTTTTGACTTGTTTTGAATTACTTCTGGCAGAGGCAATATGTTGAGACGCTGATAAATTTCATGCGCAATAATTCAGATATGACTTTCTGTTTTCTTTTAGCTCAACTCAGCAAAAAGCTTCAGGTGAGATTTTAAACAACAATATTATTCTTCAGTTACCGAGCGTGTAATGAGCTTCAATTTCACCACGATGGTAATGAATTGTACCGAAGAGCTATGTTTGAAAGATACAGTGACAAGAAATTACGCATGGCACTCCCTGTTGTCAAAATTATTGGTCATTTTTTTGATAACTGGAGAATCACCATCTGATGTGCAGTGTGAAGTGAAATAATTGCTGCGATCTCGCGTCTAGCGCAGCGAGTTTCATGCGGGAGGATCTTGATCATAACTTGTGTTTTCATTTCTTTTTCAGAGGTCTAGGAGGGGACTACATGCGACAGGCAGGTATGAAGTGTTATTGTAGTCACTTTTTTGTTCCTGTCATCTTTATTAGAGACCTTAAAATTCTAACAGGAGTTTGACGGAGAGTTCGAGATTCTCCTGTATTGAAACAGTGCGCGCGCTCAAACCTGCGTTACGTTGGCGGGAAAACGCCACAGCCGTGAACATATTATGACGGCTTTTTCCTGGAAAACTCACGATATCGACACACGCAATTGTGAAGTTTTTAAATCAGGAGAGGATTCATCCTTGTTGTATTGCTGCTGTAATATGTCTGCACTCAATTATTGATCCTCTCTTTTTATTTCCAGTTTGTCATTTAATAATGAAACTGTCCTTATCGGAATTACCTTGGCATGGAGATCAGATAATTGGTGAGAGCTACAGTAATCATATTTCACTTCCTTAAGTAGGAAATGAGGCTTTTGAAAAAGTGACAATGTTTTCTCCTGCTCAATTACTTAATGTTTCATTTCTTCTTGCGATGATTTGATATATTTGTCTTTATTTGTCTGGGTGGGTTCGCCAACATTCGTGTCATGTCTGAGTATGTTCACGTTTTTCGTTTCTTTTTCTCTTCCTTTCTTAGGCGTATTTCAAGACACTATCGATGACAACCTCTCCCACACAGAACCTGTTATACAGGTGACATTTATCCCGTGTCAATCTACGGTGGATTTTCTGCTGCCTACTAATATTAATTCTGTTCTCCTGAATATTTTAGGAAGGAGCTGTTCGAGCCCTCGGTGCTTTATGCCAGCAGTATTACGTCAAAGACGACGGTGGAGCTATTGATGGAATACAAGGTAATGGAGAAAATTATGTAGTTCCTTGTATTTTATTTCTTCCGGTGAACGAGTTGGTAATTATTGACGAAACAGTGGACTACTATCTCTTTTGCAGATAGAATCATCACACATTACGTTGGGCAGTTAAAAAGCCCTTCAGAGTTCTCAAGGTGAGTAAATGCATTCATGGAGCCCGTGAGGTCATGTGACCTTTCGCTCGTTCTTTCATTCTTCCGTCTGTACACCTACTCGCTCGCTCAGTCACTCGTTTGTTCTTTCGTTCGTTCGTTTGTTCGTCCGTTCCTTCTTTCGGTCGGTCTGTCGGTCAGTCGTTCGTTCGTTCCTTAGTTCTTTCGTTGGTTCGTTTGTTGTTTCTTTTCGTCCGTTCGTCCGTTCCTTCTTTCGTTCGCTGGTTCGTTGGTTCGGTCCTTCTTTCGGTTGGTCGGTCGGTCGGTCAGTCGTTCGTTCGTTCGTTCCTTTGTTCGGTCGTTTCATTCATTTTGTGTATCTGACTCTTGACTTCCTTATTAAATATTGTGGTTGTGATGATGGCATCAATTCAGGTGAAAATTTGTTTTTTTTTCTCTTTTCTATACTTCATGTCTGAAGTAATTATTCCTATTTCGTGTAAGTGATACACCCTTCACTTCTTTTTTTTTTCTATTAGAGTTGGGTTCGCTCAAGCTTTAGGATTTTTGCCAAAATTCATGTTGTCATCCAGGTTAAAAGTGGTAAGTACCATTTCATTTTCCTCCACTACAAATCAGACGAAAAGTGCTTGCCTCAAAACGTAATAAAAGAGTCCTCGTTTGCGATTCGCTGAGGCGTCTGAATGTGGCACTTTTTCACCGTTTTCAATGTTTTATTTTGTATGTTGTAAGTATGTTTTGCTTTGAGCTAGTTTCGAAATCATGTTGGATATTGTTTCTTCAATTTAGTAAAACCTGGTTTCGTTAACTGAATCAGTTTAGTTTACTTTTCACTATCACACACTGACATACTGACGCGAATCCATGCCAAATTCTAGATATCTTAAAGCTCTCGATTTTCTGGATTCGGAGTCTTGAGACCATGGTTTTTCATTTAAAATATCGAGTCTCAAATTTATCGCTGTACTTCTGTTCTAGGCATTTACAGGTTTAATCACAGCTTCACAGGTAGCGGATGATCCAGGAAAATTTGCTGAATCAAGAAGAGAGGCGCTTAATTCTCTTGCAAGGTATCTCAAGAGACACAATTTGTTTCCATTGTGATGTGTCACTGCTTTAAGCGCGCCGTCAACCGTGATCATTGTTATTGTTCTAAAACTGGAATTGAAACGATTAGTCCTACGACAATGAAAGTCAGAAAGTTGTATGATAACGTTCACTTTTCTCGTGGTTGCAGAATCGCTTGCACCGTTGGATTAAGTAGGACTGGAGACGAGGAAGAAATTGTCACAGAAAGCAGTCTTCATGAACTTTATGAAGCTTTTTTCGTTGCTATGAATGACTACACGATTGACAGCAGAGGAGACGTCGGAGCTTGGTACGATAACTTCCTTGTTGTGGGAAAAGTGACCCCAAACACATTTCTCTGTTTTACAGACGTCATTTTATAATGTGTTTAGGTGGTGATGGCTCCCTATAAACTACGTAACTTGTCATTTCAATTCGATCGATTGGCCAGCGATCGTTCTGTCGAGGTTTAATAAAAGTCTTGAATGTGACCCGAAACATCGGGTTTGGAGAGCTGTTAGCTGGGAAACTATATGGTAACTGTATGCTTTGATTCTGGTACAAGAAGCCAGGAAAATGTAAATTTTGATCGCATTTTGACAAATACATTTTCTCTTATTGCAGGGTGCGTGAAGCCAGCATGAGCGGGTTGGAAACCCTGACCCGATATGTTGCAGAAAACGATCCTTCTCTTTTTACACCAGAGATGTAAGTAAGAACTTGGTTCTTGAAAAAAGAAAACCTTTTTGCTCCTCCTCTAATGTGTTTTCTCTAATTTTGTGGTTTTACATCGGTCGATACCATCTCTTCAGGTAACACTGTCGTTAGGTGCTTGGTCATATGACCCACGAGCAATCTTAGAGGGGGTCTGATTCACAGTATTGTCTCCTTCCCTAAGACCCAGTACTCCCAAGTATAAGAGAAGGACGTTAAAAACACCTATTTACAGACAAATATTTAATTTTTTTTACAATGAAACTTGCTGCTCCTTTTCATAGCTGTGAGCGGGTGATGTGCTGTCTTGCGCAGCAGTCTTCTGAGAAAATAGATCGCACGAGAGCTCATGCCGGAGAGATTTTCCTTAGACTTCTGTATATGGACAGGTGAGTCACGTGTTCAGATCATTTACATCTCGGGGAGAACAAATTCAATTTTATATCACAATTTGATATTATGTTTTGAAGTTTAGTTTGCTAGTAAAAATATTGTAACAGATTTTCATGTCCATGAATTTTTTAATTAAAGGACAGTGATTTGATGTACAACATTTATATACTTATTATTTTATTTACTTTTTTCAGTCCTACGTTGCCGCATATACCGCACCACAAAGAACTTCTCGACATTTTTCCGAAGTAAGAGCCAAGGTTTGAATATAGTTAACCCACAGTGGGAACTCAACCTCTCGTCGTTGTGGTCTGCCTCCTTGGATTCCTAAGTCAATGGGCCGGTTATTCAAATATAGTGAAGCCGTTGTTTATCAAAACCGATTGTAAGCTATCTTGGAGCGCTCCTTTTTGTGAACTGTGTCAAGAATTCCGAAAGCTAGCAGTGGAAGGGCATTAAATTTTATTTAATGAAAACAACCCTCCTATGCAGAATAAGTAAGGCCCAGTGCTTGCGTGAAACCGCGGTTTGGGTCAGACCACGTGTAGAGAACTGGCCCAATGAGTCTAATATCTTGCAACTGAACATCGATTGACACGTTTTTTCATTTTTTTCGAAGTCTTTCCGTTTTTTCTTAGGGATAAGTGCTTGGAAATGAATTGGAGCGCCTCTGCTGAATGTTTTCCACGAATAACGAAGCTCCTCGGTTTGGCGTCGTACAGAAGGTCTGTTCTTCTCGGCTTGACTGTCAGTGTTGGAGGACTAACCGAATCATTGGTAATTGTCATGTTCGTTTGTTAAATATTTGAGACACTTTCACATCATCAGCACTCTCCGCATGCAAGAGCTACTGATCTTTTAAGAGAGCCTTAACCCTTCACATCCTAACATCAGTTTGTATATTCTCCATACTGTTCTCTATAAATTTCCTAAGGCACTGACAAGGAGAATTTGCTTAGAAATCATGAGCTCCTGTACGTGATGATCATTTCCTTTATTCCCGTGGCCTGGATATGTGAATCAGAGGT